CGTCCAAATCTTCCGCTGTAACTTTTGGTATAAACAACTGAAGGGATACAAAGTCAGGGCCTCTATACATGGACATAAGTTGCGGTTCTGCATTGAAGGGCCAGAATTATAATAAAAGTATGACCGAGTGTCAAAGAAGCTAGAGAGAAGTGGCAAATTTTATTGGCTTAATGCCTCCATATGTTTCATAAGTTTCTCTTTTCAGAATCCCACACGGAGGAGGGGATGAATTTGAAGCAGACGGTTATGACAGAGCTGCAACCGACAGCTTCTGCAACTCCATTGAAACACGTTGCCCGTTTTCATTTCTGCAATATTTACTTGCATGATTAAATGATCTAATAAATTCAAATCTTGTCGGAATTATAATTGAGCTGCAGTAGAGCAAAACTGCAAATATGCCGTGACCTCAAGATGGCGTGTTATGACACTGAACTTGCGAGACTTAAGTGTTCATGGTAGTTGAAAGGATTTTTCAGCATTTCATGAAGTGTCTCGCATTGTGTATTTTGTGAGAACTGAAGTTGCCACCGCGAAGATGTCGAGTGTAATCTTCTGGGTTGTGACGCCGTGCAGGTTTGTAAGTTATTACCACATAAAAGATGGAGGTTATACCCTCCTCCGTCGTTGGTTACTACCTACAAAACTACGAGGCCTCAAGATCCGGCAGATAAACGTCGAGTATTCGCTTCTTGCAAAGCCAATCAGCGTTAGAAAAATACACTATTTAGAACAATAAATTATAGTGCAAACAACGCTAAACAACATTCTATAGATCATAAATTCCGAAACAGAGATATGCTTATGCTTATTTTTGAGACATACTTTGCACACTTTCAAACATGGAATAATTATTTTCTTTAAAATAAAAATATATTTGTTCATCTCTTCTTAACCTACTCACCATTCTCAAGGGAAGGTAACAGACTTGTGACATCACCATTCTGTCTGCATGTATGTCCTTTCAACTATTACACCGACTGATATTTTTACACGAAAAGAGGCATAACGTTATGCCACTGTGGTAGTGCTGAAATCAGTATTAACAACATGGGGAAACACGAACGTGTGAGCTGTAGACAATGACGGCGATATAATGACAGGAGACTCCACAACATGCGTGCAATTAAAAACATAAAATCCAATTTCGTAACTCATAATCTCACACCCACTTATTGTTATCAGTCAGCATAACCTATAATGACCAAACAACATAGCCCAAGCAAACCTCAACTCAGGTAGCACCAGAGAAAATCAAATAATTTCTTTTCCAGAGATGAGAATCCACATAACCTACACTCAAGCAACATACGAGGATCAGCAGATTTGTAAAGAAGAGCAGTTACTATGTGCGAACAGTTCCACCGATCGAGAACACCTCGGTTTACCGGATCCAACATAAAATAAGCCTCCCCATTTCTAATCTGATGACGGACGTTCATCCTTCGAAATGCTGTAATTTTGTGAGGTTTTAAGATGTTATAAGACATTAAAAACAGGCGATGGCTGAAGATCGAGGGAAAAAAACACGTATAAGACCATCGCAAAACAATTACAAAAATCAGTTTTCTAAATAAGTGTACCCACTTTACACTACACACATGCAGTAAATATCAATATAAAACGTTTTATTATTTTCAGTATTATTGAAAATTTGTTCCTCTGATTTATTTTCATGGGTCTATGAACTACGTTGATCATCGTCCCTAGAGAAACTTTTACAGTCCTGTGTTAACTCATTCTCTTAGCTTCAATTATCTTCTTGTGCTTAAAACCGCTAAAGCTGGATACAACGTTGTAAATTAACGAGTACATTAAGCTCACGTTTTGTTAGGGCAGAGTACAGGTGTTCTCTCTCAAGCCATATCTTTAGCTCGTATTTAGAAATGTAAATTTGCTAGTAAAATACCATCCAAAAACCTCCTGCCAAGATACGTCGGCTCTCAGTGAGAATCCTACATGCGACAGCTCTTAATTGTGAGTCCAAACATTCTAGACGATATGCTACACAAGGCAAGGAAATAAACGTTCGTGTTTACCAAGTTAAAAAGTGTCCACGACGAAAACCCAGGAAGTCGTCTTCTTCGGCAAAGTAAAGTAATGATTATATTTTTCAGTCATTGAGGAAAGGCGTGAATGTGTACGTAAGGTAAAAATTTACGTAATTGACACGCCATATTGGGTATAACTATTTTTGTAAAACCACTAATATTATCACGTGTTTGTTCTTACGTTATAAATGCTTCCAAAATAAGAATAGAATAACAGGTTACAAATTATGCCATCATTTTAGGAAGAATTAAACTATTCTTATGAACGAAGAGTAATTAACAAACAAGACCAACGAAAAACTCATTTAAACCAATTCAAAACGTTAAAAAAATTATTACATCACGATTAGATAATTGAAACCATTCATAGCGATTAATTACATTATTTTACAAAACCAGTGTATTTACAGTCCGGTATCAGAAAATTGATGTTCAATACAGTTTATACCAAACACCGCTAGTTCCATCCACTTCCCGTTCGCACAGAACACTACATTTTATTCTTCCATCACCCTTTCGTCATTCAATTTCGTTTTGAAAACTTGCACATCTACTATTCACAGATTGCCAATTGAATACTTCCTAGTAGCAGAATGCTACAGCGATTCGTCGCACTTCTGCTGTTAACAGAAATGATCCAGATTTATGGATGTGATCTTAAATCTCTTAAAAGAAACGGGACGTTGTCGAGGAGGAGGAGATTTCTGAAGTTTCCTGATGGGAGCCTAGCTGTGGTAAGTGTGTTTCTAAAATAATGAATACACGAACAAATGTAAGCGATGAAATATGTTAATGTAAGAAAAGTTAATAAAGAAAGTTAAAGTATATGCTGTTGGTTAGTAGTTTTCTAAAATTATTTTATTTGAAGGCTCCTCGATTTTAATAAAATATCTTGAAGCCTATAACGTATAAAAATGACTTAAAATGTGATTTAGAAATTTAAAAATTAATTACTGAAGAAACTTAACATCTAAAATGAAATTTTTTCTAATACATTTATTTTGTTTAAAATTTAATACATAATCTTACTATTAGCGCTCCGAAGACAATTTCATGGTCATTAGGGGAACGCGGCTCCCACTGTGGGAAACGCTAGTGTAATTGTAACATAGGGAATTACAGAAATTCAAATCTATAAAGACCTACTTGTTATTTTATCTTTCTCATATAAGCTATGCGTTGGACGACCGCATTTCAGTTCCCGGCAAGGACATTACTTTCCTTCCTGGAAGCAATACAGTGTCGTGTCAAACGGGAATAGCAGCTTCCACCTGGGAAAGATAGGCCAGAGCTTGAAGCTAACGTTACCTCAGCCTAATTCCGGGGCTCAGAACGAGCGGAGGTTCAATTTCACACCCCATACATGTACGTTGTGCGTAACGTTTATTCACAGGGTTGACGTTCGCCCAATCTCACTACCTGCATGTCATTAAGATAATTTATGAAATATCGGTATAATATTACAAATACCATAAAATATTTGTTTCTCTTGAGTCTATTTGTAAGTTCAATGCCACTGCAAAAACATTTTACTCCTATTACTTACATGAACGATATATTAATTAATTTTTAGATTCCCAACTTAATTCGAGAGTATTTAATGGTGACTGATGGTAAATATCGCTAACAAATGGCATTGCAATCACACGTCAAAGTATTTAACTTTGTGTCAGAGAAAATATACAAATAATCTTGCAGATAAATTTGACCTTCACCGATGCACTCATCTGGGAGTTAACTAACTCCCCAAATCCAACCTGGAATAACATCTGCGAGGCCGACGTCGACTTCAAATTGCCCAGTTACTCTCTGGATACTTTCGGGAAAAGACCCGGGAAAAAGAGAAGAGGTTTCTCGGGGTATTATCGTCTGCAGAGGAGCGAGAGGTTGGACCTGTTTCGTAAGATAGAGGACTTGATGAATCTGTAAGTAACAAGGCCTAAATTTTTTAAATCACTTGCACGAAACAGGCATAGCCCTTTTGTTTTCCTCCGTCGTCGTATATGTGTGAGAAAGCTATTCGACGTTTCGGATAACGTGAGGCAGCCAGTCACAAATTCGTAACTTGTTATTTTCTGGGAAATAACTCCCATTCACAACTCTGATAGTGATGAAAACTGCCTCTAAAACAACATTTTCGTGTAGACAGTGTTTCCTCTAAAATATAACTAACTAACTAACTAGATGGCTTACCGAACCCGAAGGTTCATCACCGAATTAACCAAAGCCCTCCACCGGACCCTGTCCTGGGCCTATATATTAAATAACGAACCTATAAATTAACATTTGAAATATTCGTCGTATGAGGAATTTTGAGCGGGTAAAGACTCAGAGGGAAAATACGAGATAGTGAACGATAATGAGACGAAATTTCGAAGCACATAAAATAGGACACTTCCCAACAGTCATTAAAATAGACATACGGCCAATACATAAATTTAAAATTTATGAATTTGTAACACTAATAACGTGGCATCAATTGTATTTAGTGAAGAATTATAGCAGGATGGTGTATGAAAACGGTAACAGTTAAATATAAATGTTTTTCTTCTCCCTTTTCGGGGTTTATCGTGGCCGGAATATGCGAGTTATGTCTTGTCCCCAGGTACGGAGTTAGTGGCCACGACTGCATGCTGAGGACTCTCTGTGAAGCCAGGGAACGCCTCAAGCCGGGGAATTCGTTTGTTGAAGACATTTTGCAGGTCGCATTCAGGTAAGAATCGAGCTCAGGTTAGCTCAGAACACACCTCGGAACGTATACTCGTAAGAGTTATATATAACCTTTACCATCCCTGTGTCGCGTCTTAAGTGCGGTCCAGCTGGACGTTCGACGCCAAGTGCATACTTCGAAACTCCTAACTACAGGCTGAAGTTCGGCCGACAGCCCGTACTACGAGGCTTCAGACCGCCTCTTCCTGTGCGATAAGAACTGAAACCTAATTCAAAGACAATTTCTAATGTCAGACGTTAAGCCTGTTGCGACTTCGTTTAATATAGAAATCCTCCAGTGGCGAATGTTCCGATCTGATTAGCAGTGCGTAACCAGACCACGAACATTGGTGGAACATAAGATAAATGTTTTACTTTCCTTCTTTGAATTGAATTGTATTGAATTATTATAACAACACATTATCATTAGGGTTTGTCAGTACAATCCACGGTATATTTTTCCGCACTTCACTAATCACGCCATGTTCTTAAAAGCGTCCTTAAATAAATTATACATACATAAGAAATGAAGATACGTCATATTCTCCATTCAGGTAAAGAGGGCAGAATTACATATATGAAGGTAATCGTTACTAAATGAGTCTCATTTCAGAATTCCGTACGGAAGAGGTGACGACTTTGAAGCAGAAGGCTACAATCAAGCAACCAACGACACGTTCTGCAAGTCAGTGACCCAACGCTGTGACTTCTCTTTATTGAAATATTTGCTTCAAGAGTGAATCAAATTAATTATCAAATGCGACACTGACAGAAATGAGAACGAGAGTAGACAAGGAAAGAAATAAGTTACGAAACTAGACGTTAATTAAATGTACATGAGAAATAAACGCATTGAAGAGGAAAACAATTATTTCTGTGCACAGAAGACA